AGTACTTGGTACTTGTACTTGTACTTTAGGAAGAGTACTTGGTACTTATACTTGTACTTGAAGAGGAGTACTTGGTACTTGTTCCTGATATATGCTATAGTATATTATTTGGTAATGAAAATACATCGATTTTGTTAATTCTAAACCGTTTTGCGTTATCCTGTAGTGATCATCTTAAGATTTAGGTCATCTCAATGCTCGAACTAAAGATTAATGCATATTTCTTATCCCAGTAATAAAGTTGAGTTCAGTACTGTATTTTGTATTGTTTATGTCTTACGTAAAATTATGTTATAGTTTTAGCTAAAATCATATATAAAATTAAGACCTGTAAGATTGTGTAGTCGTTTAAAAGCATGTATTTTAAAAATGAAAATCGTAAAAATGTAATATTAATAAAACAATTACTGATAAAAAAATGAAGAAGAAATATATAAGTGTATTGAAACTAAGAGTTAATTTTAAAACCACCTCTTAGATGAAGTTTTGATTCACGCGTAAAAAGACTAAACTTCGAAATACTTCTTCGTGCATTGATGTACGTCTAGGAGACATAATAATACCGGCTTGACTAAAAACTCTTTCTATTGGTGCTGAAGATGCTTGTACAGAAAATATGCGTTGAACCACAGCTTTTAACCAATATAATCGCGAATTATTCCAGTACATTGAAAATTTAGAACCTACTGGATCATTTACATAAGCATTGATTTCGTTTAATGGACTCATTCTCGAATTGAGTGAGAAGTTGTGATTATCTTCGTATTGAAATAACTTTCTCTTTTTAATGATTGATGAGTTAACTGTTTGTGTTGCATAACTATTGGAAACGAGTTCTGATGGTGATGATTGTGTATCTTGTATATTATCGAACGATGTAATGCCGTTTGTGTCACATTCATTTAATATCAGTTGAATCAATAACTGCTTCATTTGTGATTCGACTACTGGTTTATAATTCATTTGACTAAGCCAATAAAATTTAAATTCAGGATCCAAAACAGCACAAACAAAATAAATCGGATCCGAAAAAGGATCATTCGTGGAAACAATTTGTTGAGTTA